TTGAAGCTGTTTGGTAAAACAAAAGCTGAACTGAATTTATTAATTGAAAACACAAAAGAATTCAGCCAAGACATCGGTATGCAGTTTGGAATTGACAAATGTGCAACAATAGCAACCAAAGCAGGCAAGATCATAAAAGAGGATGGAATAGAACTAGAGAATGAAGAAATGATAAAGGCAGTAAAATCAAAAGAAGGCTACAAGTACTTGGGGATTTTAGAAGCCTCTGACTTAATGCATAATAAAGTCAAGGAATCAACTTCAGCCAAGAACATTCAGCGAATTCGTAAGATATTAATGTCCAAATTGAGTGGAGGAAACATCATAAAAGCCATAAATACCTGGGCTATACCTGTGATTAGATACTCTGCAGGAATAGTTGACTGGACCCAGATGGAGTTAGACAATTTGGACAGAAAAACAAGGAAGCTTATGACAATGAATCATGCCTTGCACCCTAAAAGTGATGTTGATCGATTATATTTACCAAGAGCAGAGGGTGGTCGAGGACTCCTACAAGTAAAGTAGACTGTGGAAGAAGAAAAACGCAGCTTGAATGATTACATCCAGAAAAGTGAAGAACCAATGATTAAGGAAGTAAATAAAGGAGGCTTTTTAAAGACAATTAAAACAAAAGCAGAATATAAGAAAGAAATAATTGAGCAGCGAGCTGAAAATTGGAAAAGCAAAGCTCTGCATGGCCAATACTTGAAAAGTATTGAAGGCAAAGCTGACCAGAAACTAACTTGGAACTGGTTAAGATCAGGAGTACTGAAAAAAGAAACATAAAGCTTTATTTTGGCAGCTCAAGAACAAGCCCTAGCCACAAACTGCATGAAGGCAAAAATTCAACATGTTACCATCAACAGCAAATGCCGCCTCTGCAATGAGAAAGATGAGACAGTCGGCCACCTGATCAGTGGATGCAGCAAAATTTCACAAACTGACTACCTACAATGCCATGACCGTGTTGCTAAGATCATTCACTGGAAATTGTGCCAGAAGTTTGGATTTGAGTACAGCAAAAACCACTGGGAACATCAGATTGAGAAAGTTTTAGAGAATGAGAAACTCAAGATCATCTTACATCCTCCGACGATACCTTAACAGTTCCTAGGTCCTTGGTTAAGACTCGAGCTGCTGAGCTATTAACCAGCCTCAAAGGCTGTGAATCTCACTAAAGATTAAATAATAATAACAACAACAACAACAACAACAACAACAACAACAACAACAATAATAATAATAATAATAATAATAATAATAATAATAATAATAGAAATCGTGTGTTGTCCCGATTGTAATTGGAGCCCTCGGAGCAATACCCAAAGGACTACCCCGCTATTTAGAAATTCTAAATTTGCCGGACTTGAACATTTTGACTCTACAAAAAACCACCTTACTCGGAACAGCTTACATCCTCCGATGATACCTTAACAGTTCCTAGGTCCTTGGTTAGGACTCGAGCTGCTGAGCTATTAACCAGCCTCAAAGGCTGTGAATCTCACTAAAGATTAACCAATAAATAATAATAATAATTTTATTTATATACCGCCCTCCTCCCGAAGGACTCGGGGCAGTGTACAGCCAAAATTAAAAACATAAATATACAATATCATAGTTAAAATTAATTAAAATCATTAAATAGTTTTGGCTGAATTTTAAAACCCAAAGTTAAAATCCAATTTAAAATCATTCAATTAGATAGCCCCACCTGTCGGAACAGTAGGGTCTTGAGGGTACAGCGAAAGACCCGGAGATCAGAGATGTTATGAATATCCGGGAGCAATTCATTCCAAAGGGCAGGGCCTCCGAAAGAGAAGGCTCTCCTCCTGGGTGTCGCCAGCCGGCATAACTTGGCCAACGGCACCCTGAGGAGTCCCTCTCTGTGGGAGCGAACTGGTCAGTGGGAGGCTGTTGGTGGCAGAAGGCGATCTCGTAGATATCCTGGTCCTATGCCATGGAGCGCTTTAAAGGTGGTAACCAACACCTTGAATTGCACTCGGAAGACCACTGGGAGCCAGTGCAGCTCATGCAGGAGAGGTGTTACATGGGCGTAATGAGGTGCGCTCATAACCACCCGAGCGGCTGCATTCTGGACCAGTTGGAGCCTCTGAGTGCTCTTCAAGGGGAGCCCCATGTAGAGAGCATTACAGTAGTCCAGACAATCACAAATACATATTCATTGAGCGAAGGAACTGTATGCAAAGCACAGAAAAAGCAGATTAATGTAATAAGCCAACTCAATAGAAGTAGAAGATGAGGAAAAAGAATTTAAATCAGTTTTACCACTATATGATTCACTATACCATTGTCTCTTTTTGTTCTTGCAAACCACTGTCTTTGCTTTCGCTACATTGATACACAGCTTCATAAGGATCTTTGTTCTTTAAATGTACCATTTATTCAACTTCATCTGATTCTGGTTCCTTCTATTTCCTCCCCTCTGCTCAAAGGAACATTTACTCATCCTTCTTCTCTACCTTTTGTGCTTCCATCCCCATTCCTTGTCTCTTTATGATGAAGCCTCAATATGCTTCATACTGTATGCAATATTATCACCGTAGCAGGTAGAATTAAGATTTATTTGTTTTTGTCTCCCTCCATCATCCTTGAAAAATGAGGCAGAAGCTCACTCTTGTACAAAACTACTAGTCTGACTTCTTTTGACATTCATTTTTCAGGTCAAGCTATATACTACTCATTACTTTTTCTTAAACGTTCTCCATCCGTTTTCCCATCTTTAGGAAAGATGGAGCATAACTATAAGGATGAAGATCCACACTTTATCAAAACAACAACACGGAATACCATATTACAAAGGAAAAGGATTGTAATAGTATAACAGAATCTAAAATCTCTTATAAGGATTTTGAATTATAGGGTGGCAAAACTTAAGATTTACTGTCAGGATCTTATGATCATATAGGGAAAACTGGATAAGTTTGATTGCGTAAGAGAGCCATTTTATTATTAACATATCCTATGTTATAATTATATTATTGTAATACAATTTTTCATTGCTGTAATTTTCATCATGACTTGCAGTTCTTCACTCTATATACCTTGTCAAATACAGCTTGGCAGGCCTTTGGTACATTAACTTTCAGATGAATGTTCCCTGTTTTATCAGACATTATTTCAAATATTCACTGCAAATCATTCAGATTGTCAGCCAACCACAGGCCATCATTTGCAAACTGCATACAGAAAAAGTTATGCACAAAACACCAAACATGCAGCAAAGATACAGACAAACACCACCACAACTCCTTTTGAATAGGTTTTCCCCAAATTATGCTGACTCAGAAGCACCTAAAGGAAGGGCTCTATCAAATCCTGTACATGTTAATAGCGGTGTTCCTCAAGACAGTGTCTCTGGTCCAACACTCTTCATACTTTACATAAATGACCTTTGTGATCATATTAAAAGCAACTGTGTTCTCTTCGCTGATGATGTTAAACTATTCAACACCACTGACAATGCAACTCCCCTTCAAAAAGACCTTGACTATATGTCAGATTGGTCTAATAAGTCGCAACTTCAAATTTCAACCAACAAATGCTCTGTCTTGCACATTGGCAAAAAAAAAAAATCAAAACATAAAATACAAATTAGATGGACATGACCTTGTAGATGACCTTCACTCTGTCAAGGACCTTGGAGTACTCATTTCTAAAGATCTAAGTGCCCGAGCCCACTGTAACAACATTGCCAAAAAGGCATTAAGAGTTGTTAACCTAATCTTGTGTAGCTTCTTCTCTGGTAATGTTGTACTACTAACTAGAGCATACAAAACATTTGCTAGATCAATTCTTGAATACAGCTCATCTGTCTGGAACCCGCACTGCATATCAGACATAAATATAATCGAGAGAGTCCAGAGATATTTTACGAAAAGAGTCCTCAATTCCTCTAACCACAATAAAATACCTTATGCCACCAGACTCCACATTTTAGGCTTAGACAACTTAGAACTATGCCAACTTCAGTCTGACCTAAGTATAGTACATAAAATTATTTGCCACAATGTCCTTCCTGTCAATGACTACTTCAGCTTCAACCACAACAATACACAAGCAAATAATAGATACAAACTCAAGGTAAACCGTTCCAAACTCGATTGCAGAAAATATGACTTCAGTAAGAGTGGTCAATGCCTGGAATGCACTACCTGACTCTGTAGTTTCTTCCCCAAACCCCCAAAACTTTAACCATAAACTGTCTACTGTTAACCTCACCTCATTCCTAAGAGGTCTGTAAGGGGCGTGCATAAGTGCACCAACGTGCCTACCGTTCCTATCCTAATATTCCTTTTTACTTACTCTTTTCATGTATTCAAATTCTGTTTATACTTTTACCTGTTATCTTATATATGATTGACAAATAAACTTATGACTTATACATATCACTATAACTCATCTTAAGTATCTGATAATCTAATTAAGTATGCTGAGGCCAAAGAACATGTTTAACCCAGTTAAAGTAGCATGAGCTGACACAACATATTATGATACAAAAGGCAAAGAAAAATTAAATGTAGCTGAGCTTTATGCATAGTACAGATGCAATTGCCAACTTTAATGGGACCACTTAAGCACTTTGTGCAGACTTAGCTATTGAATCATGGCCCATCCAGAGTCAATCAACATTGAAATTGGCATTGTATAAATTAAATAAATAAATTTCCAAGAAAAACTGGGAAAGGTGTTCTCTGAGATTCTGAAAAGCAAGGGATTCCTCCCAAATTTCACTGTAGAAGAGACTTTTGAAATAAATACTGTACCTTAAATGAGTCTTGTAGTCAATGTCTCAGATAAAAACTATTCATCAGTGGAAATGCTTGTTGGAGTGCTTACATTGTGCTTCTGTCTATGCTCAAATTCTCCAGGTGCAAATAATTATTTCAGATGATCCATAAGGATCCAGAAAGTCAACCCCCAGAACTTCCCAGCATTTGGGGGAAAAGGTGTAAAAAACTTACACCGTATTGACTCACCTCTAGAAATCCAACACTGCCTGGCCAAACACCATCCTGGAAAGAAGATCAGGCCATTAGAGGCACAGCCACCAAGAAATAGGAAGCAATGTTGAGTCTCCCCCCCTCCCCTCCATCAAACATCATATATGATTCTCTTTCCCTTCCATGTCAGGTACCAACCAAAGAAGAAGACATTGAGGGATAGCTTCATCTTCAAAGTTCCCTCAGCCCTATAACCAGGATAGTCTTCTCAGCTCTTCTCATGTGCAGAAAATACTCCCCACTGAAGATTTGTACCTCCTAACACACAGCACGAACTGGACTAGTGTCTTATGATCACCTCTTTGAGATCTCACTTTGGTATTGTTCACAGTCAATAGTCCTTGTCATCTGCAAAACCACATCCTATTTTTCTATTGCAAAAGAAGCATAAAATATACCAAGGAGAAGGAAATGTGCTACATACACTCACAGTTGTGAGATTCTTCAAGATGAATCTGGATATATTAATGATTTTTCGCAGCATCAAATGCTTCAGTTTTTCATGAAAAAGGATTGCGGCTTCTTGGATGGAGGGCATCTGGCTTTGTCTCCTCCGTCTTGGGACCTCCTTGGGACTGATTCCAAGGTGGGTGGGATGCTGGTAACTTCAACACCCACCTTGGGGAACCATGGCTTGTTTTGTAAAGAGAAAGAAAATGACACACTTTGATGAAAATCACAAAAGATTGCGCAAAGCATATAGAAGCTATCAAACTAGCTCTTTTAGAAGAAAGTCAATTGTCATTATAGCCCCAAGCAACATACACAGGCGTGAAGAACAGATTGTATGGCATCTCTGAAGAACACAACTCCCAACAGCTGTAGAATGAAGGATCAAGTATGATACATCCTGGGAGCTGTAGTTCAGCAACATCCTAGTCCCCAGCCCCTGTCATGATAGCTGGCACCCAGCTAACCTACAGTCTTTTTTTCTGTCATATTTTAAAATAGGTATAGCCCAAAGTTAACTAATTCATCTTGTGAGACTGGACTGAAGCGGATGAATCTATGCATAAAGATGGAACAGGGACCTAAGCAAGGTGAACAAAAGCCAGGAAAAGATCCCTTCAGAAGATAGATAAGAAGGAACCAAGTCATTAAGGAAATGAAGGAAAAATGTCACCTAAATCAGACAAAAGAAGTTGGACCTGAGCACATGAGAAACCTCTCTCCAAATCTCATCGATAGCTACCAGACTTATACATCCACAAGGTTAGAGCAGCTGCCAATCTTGTGAATCAACAAAGCCAGGATTTGGGTGGGTGGGTGGGGAATAAAAGTAAGAGCCTTGGTAGTACAGTGGTCTAAGGCACCCTGTTATTAAGCTGGTTATTAAGACCAGCTGCCTGCAATTACTGCAGGTTCAACTCTCGCCAAGGCTCAAGGTTGACTCAGCCTTCCATCCTTTCTAAGGTAGGTAAATTGAGGACCCAGTTGTGGGGGCAATAAGCTGATTTTGTATAAATATACAAAAGGATGAAGGCTATTGCTGAGCACATTGTAAGCCGCCCTGAGTCTCCGGAGAAGGGCGGCATATAAATCAAATTAAAAAAAAAAAATTCTGAAGCCCATTCATTCTTTGAATCCAGACTTTGCAGCTTCTGTCCTTCTGGCTAATGCCTGCTAGCTGAGAAGGACCTGAGTAAGTATGGATGAATAATAGAAAAACAGAGTTGGAAGGGACTGTGAAGATCCTCTAGTCCAGCCCTCTGCTCAAGCAGGAAACTCTATATTATATCAGATAAATGGTTGTCCAACCTCTTCTTTAAAACCTCTTCAACTCCTCAAAACCTCCTCCAAAAAGGATCTTCAACTAGGATGAGTTGTCTGTGTGTATTAGTGAGACAGAAAGAGAGGGGGGGGGGAGAGAGAGAGGGAGAGCAAAAGAGAGCGAGTATATATGTTGTAGCCAATAAAGTTTTGCCATTCATTTAAATTCATTGGGTCTCTGTGTATTCTAAAGAACCAATTGTGTGTGAGTATTCGGGTGAAAGTGATTTGAGTGTGACTATTTTCCAGGACAGGGAGTGTGCAAGTGAGTGATGATAAGGCGAATCTGGGAGCACGTGTGTAACATTTTTAATTGTGTCAGAAGTGGGATCTATGGATTAGACCCTTTGAATTTATTATCTGAGTGAACAGTTATGCTTTATTGAAATATGGGGATGCCCAGCAAAAGGGTGCGATAGCTTCACTGCAAAATCCTGAGGAAGGTGAAATGGATTTTAAATATTGTGAAGGGATGGAGAAACTTGTTAAGAAACTGGGATTCCAATTTGTGCAGGAATTGTGCAGCAGCTGTCCAAATGAACTGGGAGACATTGACACAAACTTGTAGTTTTGTATAAATAAATATATTTAACATTTATATTTACAGCAGACAAGAAAGTCAGGAATAGCATGAGGTAAATCAAAACAGCATACAGAGCACGCAAAACAAAAAGGTGGGGGAAAGGAAACTCCTCCTTTACACCCACAGCAACCAATCACAGCACAGATTTGAAGATGCATGGCAACAAAAGCATGCTGTGCAAGAATAAAAAATTGAAGCCTTAAAGGACCTTGTGCACACCTCTGCTAGGAATAAGCACCCAGCTCATGGAGAACGTAGCAAAGTAGGGGAAAATGGGCAGACAAATAAGGCAACAATCTTAACAAAATGCCTGTAATCCAAGCTCAGATTTTGATGAAACCCCAGACTTTCTTTTTGATGGGAAGGATCCTTTTGAGGAATTAAGCAACAAGATTCAGTGGGATTCAATAACAGTATGGAAACCTGAACACAAACAAGGCACAGAAATGCCCCAAACCAGCAATGGGAAGAACAGAACAGAACAGAACAGAACAGAATAGAATAGAGTTGGAAGGGACCTTGGAGGTATTCTAATCCAACCCCCTACTCAGGCAGGAAAGTCTCTCCCATTTCAGACAAATGGCTGTTCAATCTCTTCTTAAAAACTTCCAGTATTGGAGAATTCACAACTTCTGGAGGCAAGTTGTTCCTCTGGTTAATTGTTCTAACTGTAAACAGAAAATAAATACTACTTTATTAGGAGGAGAGCTGAAACAACCTCGGCCGAAGAGGTTGTAGAAAAAATGCTTTTAAAAGCCTCTGATGATCCCAGCTGAGTCGCACGATCATCAGAGGCTTTTTTTTTTTTTTTACTTTTAAAAGCATTTTTTCAGCCAAAGAAGTTGTAGAAAAAATGCTTTTAAAAATAATTTTAAAAAGCCTCTGATGATTATGCGGCTCATCTGGGCATGGGGAGGGGGGCAGGGATGTTTGCTATCGGTTCTCCAAACCACCTGCTGCCATTGCTACGGATCGGGTGATCCGGTCCGAACCGGGAGCATTTCACCCCTGGTGGGCATGCAGCTGGGTAGACTGCAGCACCCTGAGCAATCTTGGACTGGGCAAGTAGGTGCCAGCTTATTCATTAGATTTAGCCACTTTGGAAACCAATTTGTGAGAAGAAAGTAAAGCTGTTGTTAATGTTGGAGAGAAAAGTGAAGGATACGGGGGACATGCAAATAGTTTTTAAACGGTGGAAAAGAAGAGACGAAGACAATAGGAATAGGAATGTGTGGAGCAACCAAGGCAGAGAGTTGAGAATGGGAAGGAAGGTGTGCAAATGTGGCAAAAGATGAGAGATTTGGGAGAAAACATGGGGAGATGGGATGGGCTTCTATTAGGAGCTTGAAGGAACGGGTGGAGTCATTAGAAAGAAATCAGCAAGAAGGGCATGGATCAGAGGAGATAAAGGGAGGAAAGATGGAGAAAGAACAGCCTTTCTTGCTGCTCAGGCAGGAACTGAAACAATTAACTAAGCTTTAAAGAACATTCAGTCCTGGCTATAAAAGCAAAAGAGGAAACAGATCTCAGTTCCTGAGAAAACATCAAATTCAGATCCCTTAGTGACTAATTGAAAAATTATTAGTCAATGTCTAGACTGCCTGGCTTATGAGATAAATAAACACATAGGGCTTGAGAGGCAGTATAGACTTGAGTTACGATCACAATTGAGCCCAAAATTTGTGTTGCTAAGTGAGAAAGTTGTTAAGTGAACTTTTCCCTGTTTTACGATCTTTCTGGACCCAGTTGTTAAGTGAACACTACAGTTGTTAAATTAGTAACAGGGTTGCTAAATGAATCTGGCTTCCCCATTGAATTTCCTTGTAGAAGGTTGCGAAAATAGTTGCCAACTGTTTGAATTTTGATCACAAGGCCCCTGATATGCTGAAACAGTCAAGTGTGAAAAGTTATTTTTGACTGAGAAATTAGGAAACTGGGGATGTCCTGTGGCATATTTTTCTGAGCAGTTAAATCCAGTACTTTTAGGTTTGCCAGCTAGCTTGTGTGCTGCAGCAACAGCTGCTGTGTTGATTGATTGAAGAGGTGCAGAAATCAACCTTTGGAAAGGAAATGGAAGTGTGAGTGACTCATGCGGTGAAAGAAATTTTGTGAATCAAAGGAAGTCATTGGTTCACTGCCAGTTGATTAACAAGGTACAAGTAATGTGGTGATGTGTTTTTTTGAGCGAGGCATTCCACTACCATCCCCCCAAAATGATCCATATGTCAGTACAATTGTTTGCATATTCACTCAGAAATTAATCCTGTCAACTCTTAAGATTCCTATGTAGAAAATATGCTTAAGACTACTGCCTCAAAAGTACCTGATTTCAGTCAAATATATATAGATAAACTTTGACAGCAACCAGTTTTTTCACCCTGGAACTGATAAGAGAGTAGATTCAGAGATAACACAAAAATTTTCTTAGTTTTCGGCAGTTGGAGGGCAGATCAGGCAGGGAAATTGGTAAAGAAATGTAACTAATTAGGCTGTTGGTTTGCTTTGGCAATTTGGTTGCAAATGTTTTGTCACCATTTAAGGAGACATTGTCAGTATGTTTTGAGTTCAGCTCAACTCAAAACGCACTGACGATGTCTCCTTGAATGGTGACAAAACATTTGCTGCCAAATTAACAGAACAGAATAACAGAGTTGGAAGTGACCTTGGAGGTTTTCTAGTCCAACCCACTGCTTAGGCAGGAAGCCTCACACCACCTCAGACAAATGGTTATCCAATATCTTCTTAAAAACTTCCAGTGTTGGAGCATTCACAATTTCTGGAGCAAATTGTTCTGTCAGGAAATTTCTCCTTAGTTCTACGTTGCTTTGCTCCTTTATTAGTTTCTACCCATTGCTTCTTGTCCTACCCTCAGGTGC